TCAATTCAATCAGTGAATGAATAAAAAATAAAATAATAATATGTAAATTTTGATAATTTCCATAGCACTTCTCATATCGAAAAACAGTGCAAATTGTCATTTGAATAAATTCAAGAAAACATTTAGCTAGAAAATATTTAATCTCAAAATAAAAGTTTGAGAGTTTTCGAATATTTTCTTTATCCCATAAAATTTTAACCATATTTTTCTCGTGTGTGTCGTTAAAAAGTTATTCGAATTTTTTCGAAGTCAGAAATATCTGAGAAAAATATACATGTGACGAATATGAACTATGAAGCAAAAAAAACACATATAGCTAGGCCTTAAAAGAATGCAAATTATTCCTTACATTAGGAAAATGCATTACTATCTCAATAGTAACAAAATAGTACTGAATTCAGATATTTTTATAAATTTAAATGATTTAAATTTCAATACCTCAAAATCATAAAATAAATGGAAAGATAGCTGGTCATTTTTAAAATTATTTCTTGTCGTGTACGATAAGAAATAATTAAGTAACAGAAAAGAAACGCGTAAATGACATCACTCTTACAAAACTCACTGTTATTACAACTATTAGAAGTGCTACAATAACTTGACTACACACAAATACCATACTTTTCTTCTTCTTCTTCTCTCTCTCTCTCTCGCTCTCTCGCTCTCTCTCTTCTTTAATTTTATTAATTACCAGAAAAATGTCAAACTCTGATACTCTTTTGAAGTAGTTAATGGAATGGCACTTCTCTTCAGTTTACTATTACACTGGAAAACTATCATGGATGATACAATTAGGTCACATAAAATAATCAGATTTAAATCAAAGGTAACCTCCTTAAAAAAGATTACAAACTTTTTATCACTCCTATCATCGAAATTTCTCTGCTTAAATAAATTCCTGAAAATTTCCTATTCAGTTGTTCTTTGATAGTTTGAAAAATTTTCCAAAGGATTAGTATGAAAGAACTTCAACTGAGACATAAAAGACTGATAACAACCATCTTGTTCTTATCACAGTGAATAATTTAAAAAATAAAATTCATCGATCCAAGTAATTTTTTCACAAATTTCTAGAGTTTTATTTGAATTATCGAATTGTAGCATATACTCTCACACTAGATAATATTGATATTTTAATTTAGTAAAGTTTGTTAACAGCTTCTTTGAAATTAAATATTACTTTCAATTCAATGACATCAATTTTCTAAAGAAATGATTAGCGGTGATAACAATGGTGGTATGAATTATTGCAGCAATTTTAGTGCTATCAAGTTTGCAATGTTTAATGGACTATGCTTTACAAAAATTTTTAAAAAATGCCTCAGCGAGGTCATGTATTTTTCTTTGGAGCCTCCTAATAATTTCCATTATTTATTCTTTTACTCATACTATTGTTTTGTGAATTTGTATTTGCTAATTTAAAAATTTACATTTGGTTTAAGAATTTACATTTAATTTACATTTTTAATTTAATTTAGCAAAACTAACCCAAATATTTTTTATTCTAACTTATTTTACAGTTAACTTATTGCAAATAAACTTAATAAAATAAAAAAATATAACAAATTTAAAATTTGCAATTTATATGCCACGATAAAATGTTTTTAATTTAATGAAAAAACAAAATTGAATTAGCATTAGTAAGAGGTTATCGATAAGTCATTTCAGTCATTAAACAGTTAGTTGTTTAAAAGGAATTGGAAAGTTTCGAAATTTTAAAAAGGAATAATTTACAATTGCGTACGATGACATTTTTTTTTAAAGAAGTACTTATAGCAAAAAATTTGGAAGAGAAAGAGAGAAGTTGTGGAAAATGGAAGAGATGAAAGATGAATAGGAGCCAAAATTAGTAATTAATGTACCTATCTGCCATAGTAAAAACCATAAATCAGTAGTTGGAGGCATATGGCATGTGAGTGTGAGCTCATTTCCATCTCTCCTACCATCATTTTAACTCTTCCACAAAAATTTCACTAAATTCATTGTATAAGTAAGCGAGTGGAAAAAGAAATATTTGTTGGTCTTCACAAAACGAACATATAAATGAATTGAACCGGTTCATCTGTTCGCCTTTTAATTATATTCTATTTTCCCATGGCCGCTGCAAAAAACACACACACACACACACACGTACACACACACACACAC